ATTAATATAACATCGGGCAGCATGGGCTACTGCCTCGCAACCACCATTTGTTTCGAATCCAAATTGTTGGGGACGAAATAGATTTCCAAGACTTTCTCGTAAATTGAAACAAGCAAGTTTCGCTACTAAACGTCGATAAAAATTTCCAACAGCTATAGGACGTAGACCGCCAGTCTTTTTCTTTAACGCACATAAAGAAGCACCATATAAAATAGGACGTATGTCTTGATTGACCTTTCCAGAAAGAAGCATATTGCAAAGGTTCGTTAAAGAATTCAAAAGATGTTCGCCACAACTACCGGAACTATAGCTTAGCATATCTTGAATATGGGACGCGTTGAATTTATCCGTTCGTGATTATTAATCTTTTTATTTTTTGTCCAGGTGCCTTAGACGAATCTGGCGAGAGTCCCATTCCAGAGAGCGCCGGTAGAGCTTGCGACCTTCTCAGCCCGAAGCAGCGTCACCAGATGAAGCATCGCGAGCTGTTTCTCTCCCGCCAAGTGGAAACCTTACCGGCAACGCACATTAGAGGCAAGTGTTCCGTCACCCTGTTCAACGAAACCGAAGCTTTGGGCTCGTACCTCAACAAAGACGATATGTTCTTCTACTGCTTAGTGTTCGATCCCACGCAAAAGACTCTGCTGGCAGATAAGGGCGAGATCCGCGTAGGCAGCAGATATCAGTGCGACGTTCCCCCCATGCTCAGAGATAGTGAAAGTGACGATCGCGACCTCAGCGAGATGGAGAGCATCGTATGGACTCCAGACCATCATCTCAGTGACCGGCAGATAGACCAATTTTTGGTGGTTTCGCGAAGTGTCGGAACTTTCGCGAGGGCCTTGGACTGCAGCTCGAGTGTGAAACAACCTTCGTTACATATGTCGGCGGCGGCAGCTAGTCGGGACATAACATTGTTCCATGCCATGGACACTTTGCATCGGCACGGTTACAATTTATCGGGCGCGTTGTGTTCTTTGGTGCCATCTAGTGGTCCGGTGCTGTGTAGAGACGAAATGGAAGAGTGGAGTGCTTCGGAAGCGAATTTGTTTGAGGAGGCTTTGGATAAATATGGAAAGGTAAGATCTAGTGGCGCCCGTGGCAAAACATGAATTTTGTGCCTTCCGAAATTATTCACAATATCAAATGTTCGCATAACGAAAAAATGCAAAAAAAAAAGATCGAATTCATTGGAAACTCAAACATTTGAGTAACTATACATAAACATTTGATCTGGAGCTTTTTTTGCAATTGATTAAGCTCAATTTGCAGTTTCAGGCAACCAAGTTTGGATTTGAAATAAAACATCATGCTCATAGTAAACGGGGTTGGCAAATTTCTCAAAAAAGAAAAATGCACAGCTGGCGAAAAAAGTTAATGCTGAAATTTTTATTTCAATCGGTCACCAGGAATAACGTATTTCAGTTTGGTAGGTGTACTAAGTCGATTTCGTCATTTTACGAATTTTTTAAATATTTTCATCCTATTTTCATCCCTTGAGTCAATAAGCATATCCTATTTAAAGATGGTAGTTGTAGGTACGAAGTTGTTAAATTAAAAAATAATAATTCAATATTTTTTCTCAGTGTACATCGTTAACATTACATCAGATACTAGTATTTAATATATTTACTCAATAACAATGACACCAATGTTGAAAATATTTTTTGATATGATTATGGAACTTATGCGTCTGAAGAAAATTGTAGATATGTAAGATATATGTCAGTTGATTATTTCAAGAATACATGTTTATAAAAAAAAATGTTAGGAAAAAATAGTTGGGGTTGCATCATTTTTTTATTGATTTCAAGTAATTACCTTTTTGACAATTTAATACTCATTGTTGATCTTACAAGTAAACTCTCAATGTGTTATTTTTCTATATGCTCTTCAACAATTCATTCTTGAATAATAAAACCATCAGGGTAGTAACTTGACTGGGATTGAAAATAATTATCATAAATATTTAAGCCTGTTCACAGGTGAATTTAATGGGACTTTCTTTACAATGGTCTAATAATATTGCAATTTGATCTCTGTGGAATACCTACCTGCTGGATCAAGATCAAATTGTATTTGCAGTAAGATTTTGAAATTTTACTAACATAGTTTTTGTAGAATGAACTTGTGAAGCATCATTTCATCATGGAGTGTTGAATCAATTAATATTACTTACACAAAAATATTTTTTGTTACAACAACTACATCATAGAAATATCCTCCGAAAGACATTTTTTGTGGAAGAGCAAACGTTTCTTGCGGTCTTTTGGATAATTAACCTTCGATAATATGAAAAATAAACACAGCTGAATCAATAGATAACCTGTTGAAGTGTTATAAAGAAAAAAAGAAAGAAATGTATTCCTCCATAGACCAAAACTTCAAAATATTAATCACTCCCAACTTGTCCTTCTAATAACTCCTGCTATATACCATATGGTTCTTTTTTGAATTTTGAGTATTCTGGAACAATCGCTAGATGCTCCCCAAAGCTATAATATCGTAGGAAATGTTACAATGAAAGTATGCATGGTAGTGCATTAATAAGAGTGATCTATTCACATTTCAGTGTAGTTGTGGAATACAATAAGTTATTGAGGATATCTTTTCACAAATCGTATCAATATGCTTGTTCTATTTAAAATTTTCTGTTATATTTGTGACTTTATGGTAATTCATGATCACTTAAATGAAATGAATAAAAACACTTTTTTTATATCCCACTGGTAAATTTTATTTATACAACCGGTTTCGGGTTTGACCCCATTATGAATAAAATTTACCAGTAGTATATAGGCAAAAGTGTTTTTATTAATTTCATTTAAATTTTTTGTTATCTTCAAACCCAAAAAGTTTGTCTCCTCTCGTTGTTGAATTGATCCATTAATTGACGTTACCAGTAAAGTGTGATCTGGAGTGGTTCTTGAATGATTACAATGTAAAAGCACAGTTTTTCTTTCATTTAACAAGAGACCATTGTCTGAGTCAGTATCCATGTTCAAAGTTGTTTGGAGAGATGAATATATCGAGAATTTATTTTGAAATATTTATTTTCTAGTATGTATGTATATCTCCTCAATGCAGTCTTCAGACACAGTTTAATATCTGTAATTAAAACTCTTCATATTTAGCATTCTAGTTCAGAGGCTCATCAAATAAAATTTCCAGATACCTTACAATCTTATTAGTTTTCAGTATGTCACTTTATCAAGAATGAAGCTGAATTCTTCTATTCTGTCAATAGTGAAAACAAATAATATTTGCTTTGTTCAAAAAAGAATTTCCATATTGTATTTGAATACTTCACATCTTTTGTAATACCAGGCATTAGAGGTCATTAGAATAAATAAATGGTTTGCCAATTGCCATCCCCATACACAGTATAGTATTAGGATGATTTCTTGATGACTTATAGAGGAACTAGTACATTAAAAATGGAAATAAGGGCCTTGTTAATGTAAATTACATAAATTTTAGTTTTGGATTCGTCAGTAGTATCAAATTTATTCTGAAATACATCTTTTTAAAGGACTTCAATGACATCCGTCAAGACTTCCTGCCTTGGAAAACGCTGAAGAACATAATAGAATACTACTACATGTGGAAAACGACAGACAGATACGTCCAACAGAAGAGAGTAAAAGCTGTCGAAGCCGAATCCAAGCTGAAGCAGGTCTACATTCCTAACTAGTGAGTTCGTATTAAATACTGAAATATTCCATAGATATACATTCTAATTGATTCGTTTACAGTAACAAACCAAATCCAGCAGCACTAAACAATAACAAGGGTGTAGTGAATGGAAGTAGTAATGGTAGCTCGGATGCAGCAGTGTCGTTGGGTGGAAAGGCCTGTGAATCTTGTAATGGTAAGTTAGATTAAAATAAAATTAATTTTAGTAAGCCGTTTGTTTCTTCATTTGCTATTTCTATCTTTTTTGTAGCAAATTAATCTTCTCTTTTTACCTGCATTGTAGAGAATCCCTTTCACTTTGTTTTACTCTGATTCTATTATCAACTCTGAAGATACAATAAAACAAATCCGAAATTCTAATTTCGTGTTCTAGCTCACACTGTTTAATACTGCAACAAATAGACGAGTATGGTCCTGTTCAACTTATCAAACAGATAAGTTTTAATTAAGATTCTCGCAAAGTCTACTAAAATATTCACGACTGATTATTTTCACCTACCTTCGCCAATAGTGGAAATCCTCACTTTTTTCAAAAAGTTGTAGATAATCCATTTCATTTTGTTTCACTCTGATTCTATTATCAACTTTGAAGATGCAATAAAGCCAATTCCGAACCTAATTCTAATTTTGTGTTCTAGCTCACACTGTTAACCCATTAGTGCATAAAGTTAAAAATTAATTGTTTTTCTTGAGTTTTTTCTAAGTAATATTGAAAAATATATTGAAAAAGAAAGTCACAAAAATTTTTGAATTAGTTTTATTTCTTTGTTTTTGAGTGTCTGTCCCTTTAAAGGGACTCTATGCTAATTGAACAGATGAGAATATTATTTATTACATTAAAAAATGAAAGATACCTTCAATTTTGATGATAAAGTTCAAAACAAAATTTAGGATGCAATCCACAGTCGCATTTTATACAAATAAAGTTACTTTTTTTCTTGCACATTTGACACCTCCTGTCTCTTGTTGTAAGAAATTATGTGACCTATATTGTCAAATCTGGAAGCAAGTGGAAATGGCGGTGTCGTTTTTCCTCTACTTGATTTTTTGTCATAAGATTGAAGCAAACTGAGAGGTGTATATCTTCGAAAAACAAGTAGAGAAGAACACTTTGGGTCATTAAGCTAGTTGAACACACACCGATTTTGGACAGCCGACTTTGTACCGGTCGTCCAAATTCCAATAGTGTACCACATGTGGGAACGGGACCTTGCACACACGCCGACCGGTGATCGTCGCCGGTAAAATACCGGTGAGCAGCCATCCACTGCCAGTGCAAGCACCTGCTACCAATAAAATATCGGCCGATTTTATACTGGCCGTCCAAAATCGGTGTGTGTGCAACTAGCGTTAGGCATCTGTTTTTTTATTAGAATCCAAGCATTTGTCACACTACCATCGACTAAGTATGAAAATATTGGCCGATACCATTTTCTTTGTCGCATTCTCGTCCTATATAGAGAAATAAGTCCGTCCATTTTATCAATTCCTCCCATAGTTTTGTTATAGTTTGCAATCATTTTGGGTTGGAGAACTTGCCTTTTAGATTTGGATTCCTTGCACCATCTTGAGGTTATTACAATATCGGTGGAATCAAAATTCGTTCCAACAGTAACGACTTTATTATCGTTCCATTGCACAAAAGAAGCATTTTCACAATGTATAAAGTAAGAAGTTCCCCTTGATTTATTTTTCCATAATTTCGCTTCACGAAATCGACATTTCTCGGTGCGATCCTATCTCGCAGTTCCAGTAGAGCATATGTTTTTTTTTTCAGACATATGCTGCTATATACTGAGACACGTAAAGTAGTTATCAAAAAAAAATTTGTAGCCTCTGTTTGCAGGAACTTCTGATTTTTGAAGCAGTGATATTACAACGTCTCCTCCAAGTCCAAAAACCTTTTCTGAATCTGATTTTCCGATGTAAATCTCAAAAGAAATCATATACTCATTGCTACTACAAATGGCCCAGTTCTTTTATCGAAAACGGATGTTTTCCTTTTATATATTGTTTAGCATAATGCTTTCCATTATAAGGAATCATACTTTCATCAATAGATAAAGTTTCCTCTAATCCTCCATGGTATTTAAAATTTTTGTTAAGGGCATCTATTAGAGGACGAATCTTGTGGAGTCTATTGTTGCGATCAAGCTTAGTGTTATAGTTGAAATGTATGTGCCTCAGTAAAGTTTCAAATCGATTCAAACGCATACTATTAGTCAATATTTTTGGAACGTCTTCAGTTGTATTCCAATACATCCTTTTATTGGGGTACTTCGCATATCCTGAAAACAACATTCCACCAAGTAAAACATATAACTCATCTTTTTTTAAATGTAAATCTTTATTTTTTTGTTTACCCTTAGTCGAGTACAGCGTTGGATCCATATTCACAAAAATAGTACGAAAACAACCGCACTCTTCAAATTTTATCTGCAAACTGAGCTGGACAGTCTTTAGTCATGAGACGGACACGGTCACAACTAGAGAATGGAAGTTAGAAACATATCTACCTGCTAAAACAGAGGCATCCCTTTAAAGAGACACGATGTGCTAATGGGTTAAATACTGTAACAAATAGACGAGTATGGTTCTGTTCAACTTGTCAAACAGATGAGTTTTAATAAAGATTCTTGCAAAGTCTACTGGTGGAAAATTAGTGGAGAGAAAAAAGGCATTGTTCTTTTATATGATAATATTTTTATTGATCTAGTAAGATTACATAGGGACATTAAGAAAACTATCGTCTCTAGTAACTTTAGATCCTTTAGCAGGCAATGGTCCCATGGAAATATGAAAGCAGCATAGTAGTAATTCAAACGATCAATTACAATATAGATATTTCAAAGACGAAGAGGCACTACTTACAGTGTATACGTTTGTCACAGTTTGCTACTTCAGTTTTATTACATGGGTGGCAAAATATCGATTTCACATAGTGTTTCTCCAGTATTCTTTCAACCTGGTCTGTAACATTTTCATGTGTACAAAAAAGAAATATATACTGATTTGATGTTTCAATAAAATATTCAACCACCAATCATGACAAAATAGAAGGGTAGTTGTGAAGTCCCAATGTATCTATGAACCCAAGGAACTTGATCTTCTGAAAAATGCCTTCAATTCTCACGGGCAATTCGACCCAGGAAAGACAACACCAAAGTAACTCTAGGTAGACCCAAAAATGTTACTGACCGGATTGGACAAACATAACCTGAAATCCATATTCAAGCCTACGAAAACCATCAGAGATAGTCTAAGGTCCGCTAAGGACTTCAGACAGCTCTTAGCAACATCTGTGGTATACCTGATTCCGTGCAGCTGTGGATCTATTCATATTGGAACCACGAAGAGAAATTGTCGACTTGGCACGTCAGTAGTAGATAAACATGAACTCAGAGAAGGCAACCACATTCGCATTTGAATAGACAAAGCTCAGAGCTACCATCCAAGAGAAGTAATAGACAGACAATTTCAACAGAGAGGAAAAGGCATATAACATAAATGAAATCTAACAAGGTGGAATAATTTGATTTATGCTCACTGAGACATTATTTTAAAATTATTTACTCTTATATGTATATTCTGTTTATATTCTACTAGTACTGTGTTGTTGTATCGCTGCTGTTCCAATGTGTTGACAGAATTAGAATCAACGAACTTAGGCATGCGCAGCGTTATAGAACAGTGCTTTCAAAAAATTGTTCTACAGCGCCATCTAGTGGCGAGTTACAGAAAAATTGATAGCCTAAAAACCTAGCCTAAAAACTTAACGTTTTTATCCAATGAACAAACTTTCGTGACTTGCTACAAATATGCTACTGTATATAAAGTGGTTAAATAAAGTAGTTACTTACTTAACTACCTGCACTAAACTGTACACGAATGGGACAAATTACTCCAACCAATAAAAATGAAGCCACGCCCATCATCAATTGCAGAAATCTGAAGGCATTTCAAACAATGTAGTATGCTTTAGAGCACTATGTTCATTCCCTCATCACCTTTGACACAGTTATCTTCAACAGGGAAAATTCACACTCTTCAATCAATTGTAAAATAATTTTGAATGTTTTGAAGGACATTTTTCAGAATTACACACATTAACATAGAGTGTTCTGTTGTATCTACTTTTTCCTCAAATGCTGCCTTTAATTTATCCATACAATTAATTTTCAGTAACGGTATCAAACCAATGGTACGCCTGGGGTCCTTCGCATATGCAATGTCGCTTGTGCCAAGTGTGTTGGCACTACTGGAAAAAATATGGTGGCCTCAAAATACCAACGAGGTTTGGCGACGGCGACTTCGAAAATGGCGGTAAGAAAATATCTGGTAGCGAAGTGGAGGAGGAAAGGGTTCAGGGAATGCCACACAGACCGCATCGCTGTAACATTGGCGGTTGCGGAAAGGAGTTCAAGCTCAAAGCACATCTGGGGAGGCACTATGCGACGGCTCATGGTATCATGGTCAGGTCTGGCTCCCCTAGGCCGATTATGAAAACTCGGACTGCTTTTTACTTGTGTACCACGCCGATAACTAGGATTTCCAGGAGGTTGTGCAGGCACATAATGAGACCAAGGCATGCGGCTCGAGCGCCATTCTTTGCCATAAATATACAGGCTGTCAAACAGGAATGTGGTATGGCAATGGTAAGTGAAGTAATACATTTTTTGCATAATGTGTTTTCTGGAATTAACCTG